ATGAAAGAATTTTCAAGCTAGGCAAACCTATTCTTATTTCTTCTTTATGTGAGAATTCATAATCTCCTTGTCTATCCTTATGAGATGGGCCAAATCTTTACGAAATCTTGACTTGTATTTTCTAACATATATCTTGTCAAGAGTCTTGAGTTACAGGCCCAACAAGGTCGAATATTCTTCGATGGTTGGCATCATATCCACTTCATTGAAGATAAAACACTTGTATGTAGGATCCTAAAATTGCACTGCAGCTTTAACTAGTTGATTATCGACATTTACTGTAAGAAGGTGTGCTATATGCCCATGTCTCTGGCAAAATTACTCTTGTCTTGATGGATTCATCTTCTTCCATATATCAACCAAATCTTCTAGATTATTTTGTTTGAGGAGGATAGATGTTTCTTGAGATAAGGTAAAATCATATTCGATTGGTAAATAATCCCTCATCTTCAGTTGAATCTTTTCTAACTGGACCTTTACTTTGTTGTGTGACTCACAATGAGCTAATACAAATGAAGAATAAACTAGTCGTTTTGTGTAGTCCGTGAAAAATTTTTGTTAAAGATCATCTTTCAAGCAAATGTTCTTTATGAAACTTCATAATATGAGTATGAATCATGCAAACATGAATAAGAGAAGAGGTTAGCATATCACATAAAGAGAAATAGGTAAATAAATAACTAAAGAAATTAGAACATTACACCCAATAAGAAAAATGAATCCTATGCTTTTGAACAATTCTAAAGGGAAGAAAATGGCTCTATCTAGAAGTTAGGCATTTATAAGGTTCATATATGTGGTTTAAGGTTAAAGTCTAAAGGTTCCCAAATTGCTCCTTACATCATTGTCCATTACAGACTAGTAAGGTACCTCAATCTTCACCCATTACAGGCTACAAATGAAAAAGGTTCAATTTGAGTAAGAGTATTTCGCTAGTCACTGCAGAGGCATTAAACCTCACGAAAGTAATAGGTACTTTACTCTCTCCGAAAGGGACAGAGCTCAGGTATAGAGCTCATATTATGCACATGCATATTAATGATAGAATTAACAAAAGTAAATAAATATGAATGAATAAAAAAAATCTATACAAAAAAGGTTCAATTTTATTAGACTTTCGGATAACACAAATTTAGTTGTTGGTCTGACTCGACTTTTTTCTAGCATAGTCGTCAAACTATCATAACGTCTAGATCCAGAGATCCATCGCTAGACATTATCTTTAAGAGTCACCACCAATCTTTTTTATCTAGGTGTGATTGGTCACCTAAGGAATCTATCATTTTAAGGAACACCTAAGCCTAACGGCCCATAAAAGAATAGGTTCAGGTCTACTAACTAGAGCAAGATTCAAGAGTACGATTACGTGTGAAAAAGGTTATAGCACCCTCACAACGCCCATCGAAAAATGGTACCAGCTTAATTTTGTGTTATCCAATAAGCCTTAAAAATTTACCAAGTAATTAATTATTGAAAATTATTCTCAATTGACTCTAACACTTTTAGCAAAAAATTGAAAAAATTTGCTCACCTCAAGAGTATGCAAGGAAACTATTGTTTCACTTACAAATGCTTTATCGTCGAATTATTTCACATTAAAGAAAATTCAAAAAGGAAAAGAAATAAAATAAAAAAAAAAGAATAATGATTCAGCTTTAGATATAAATCATTTTCTTTTGAAAAACTCATTGCTTTTGTACAAAGAAAATTGATACTTTCAACTTTTTCTCAAAACGATTTTTTTTTAAGGAAAATTGGCACTTCCAATTTTTTCCCGAAATGTTTTTCTGAAACTTTAATTTCGAAAAAAATTGATACTTTTAACTTTTCCTCAAAAATATTTTTTTTAAAAATTTATTTTTAAAGAAAATTGATACTTTTACCTTTTCCTCAAAAATATTTTTTAAAAAATTATTTTCAAGAAAAATTGATACTTTCAACTTTTCGCTCGAAAATATTTTTTTTAGAATTTTATTTTAAGAAAATCATTAAAAAAATAAAATAAAATAAAAATAAAATAAGGAATACCAAATTATTCTAATCTAATAAATAATAATAATAATAATAAATAAGAAAAAAAACTTTTGAAACGACTTGACTCGGTTTAATGCGGCTCGACTTGAGAGACAGAAGTGGTTTAAACGTGCGGCTCGACTGGAAATGGCTCAGCTTGGCTCGACTGGGGTCCAGGCAGAGACGCAGATCGTTGATCGGGTTGGCGCTCGGGTCAGGTTGCCCGATTTCAAAACGCGCGGATCCTCTGAGAATAGTAAGGTTAAAATGACGTCGTTTTCGATAGGTATAAAAGGCTCCAACCTCTGTTTTTTCACAGATTGCTTCATTTCCCCTTCTCTTCTTCCTTTTTCTCCTTTTTCTCTCCCTTCTCTTCTTCCTTTTTCTCCTCTTTCTCTCTAAACAAAATCCATATTCCAATTGAATGTCTGTCAAAATCTGAAAAAATAGGTCGAAAACTTCAAAGTTGGCCAAAAAACTTGAATTTTGCCGAAAAATTTCGTCGGATTCTGAAAAATTTTTAAAATTTTTTCAAAAAAAAAAATTCAAAAATTTTAAAAAATTTCTCACAAATTCCTAAAATTGTTTCTAACGCACCAAAACCTTTTTTAGCCTCTGTTTCCTCTCTGTGTATTTTTTGTTTTTTTTTTGTGTTCTTTGTGGACCTATTTATAGGGATTGATCAGAAGAGTTCTTAATCAATCCCAACTCCTTCTGGGATTTAGATTCAATCTTTGAATCCAATCTCGATTCTGCTAGCCTCCAATTTCACGGTCAAATCTAATTTTTTCTGATCTTAATCCTAGCCAAAAATCAATCAAGATAAAATCAAAAAAATACATATTAATAATTAATAGATAAATAATAAATAATATATATTAATAAATAATAATAAAATATAAATATAAATATAAAATGAACTTATCCATTTGGACCAAGTTCGACCCAATTGATTTGGACCTACACTAAATTGGGTGTCTACACCGGGCATGGCTTCCATGAATTGATAGCGGTGGTTTATTCATTTCTTCCATTTCAAAGTCTCTTCTTTGATAGCTTTGAATTGATCATTTTCTGTGCAGGCTTCTTTTGCTTTACTTAACTTGAGACAACGTAATGCTTACCCCGCAAACCCCCTGTCACCATGACAGAAACCCCCAACTAATTCCAATTTCTTTGGTGGCTTGACAAGTTCTGTTGACAGTTTCTCTTTTTTTACCAGAATCAGGATCTGTTGTGAGTGAAATTGTCAAAGGCTAAGACTAAAAGCGCATTCTATGGTGGATGCTGCTATTAAGGCACAAGTATCTTTTCATCCTTTTATTTATTTTTTCCTAAAAGCCAAGCTTATGATTTAATGACCATTATTATGCACAGGCTTATGGTTTAATGACCCTTATGATGCACTATCATTCAGGCCATCTCATCTATGAAGGAAGGTGAAGATGCATATACGACGATTGGAGAAGCTTTGGACTATAACCAACAATTTACGCCTGACATTAGGATGCCAGTGATCAAGTCAACAGAGCAGGAGAATGGCTGTATCAGTTAACACAATCATTTGGTTTCCAATAAATCAAGAACAATGCCTGCCCGTTACGCCCCTAATCCCAAGTTGCAGGTGGCTTCTGCAAAAAACAAGGAACAAGTTCCTTCAGAACCCATCACATCAAATGTTGCTACTTTGCTTATGATACAGGTAATTTGGAAATTCTTTTTCTGACGTAATTGCTACTCTCACCAGCCTGAAGACCAGAACGCTCTGCATACCTGTTTCCTTAACTGCAATCTTGTGCTGATCTTTGCTTTCATCTAACACGCAGACATGTACAGAACAACAATATCCCCCAGACGATGTGGCTCAAATTTTTTATGCGGCTGTTACAAGTTTGCATCCATGCTGTACCCATAACCTGCCTATTTTACCGAGAAATACGAATGTGCATGGGCAGAATTATGACTCAAATATTAGCTTTGATACCGACTCGAGTTTGATGCTTTGTTTTCTAATTTCTTTATATAAATATATATATAATCGTAATTTGAAGTTAAAAAATTGAGTTATATATACTAATATTCGTTCAAATTTATTAAATACCAATTTTGAAGAATGATTTAATAAACTAATTGGATTAAATTCGAGTGTCTTATTTTGCTTTTATTAAAACAGATCAACGATTATACAAATCTCAATGATCCTCGTCTAACCGGGTAATGCAATTTTTCTGCCCTTTTCCTATTATTTTATCTTCATAACAATTCAAGCTCAATCAGAGATCAGGGAACATGGTAGGAAGAAGGCAAGAAAATTCATTTTGCTTTAAATCATAATTTCTGCTCAGATTCTGTTTGTTAGTATTATTTTCTGTTGTCACAGTTAAATCAGAAATGATTGCTATTATCAAATCTAATGATGTCGATGTGATCCCTAAATGGTCTATAATGATAACTTGGGTCAAAAATGAAGGACCACAAGAACGTGTTGGAGCTCATAGGATGTTATGCGAAGAAACAAGACCCTGTTTCTGTTTATGAATTCAATTATTACACCAGAATGCCATTGATATAGAGGTTGAAGGTCGGGATAGACATAGCAAATGCAATTGCACATGCTCATTCTAGCCATATTTATGTTCCCATGTCTACAATTCAATTAGGTCCGGGAAATGTTCCAAAATTTAACTAATTTCTCAGCCGCCGTCCCAACTAAATCCAAGGGATTTCCCCAAGGACCATTGCCATGTGAAAGAGAATGTCTCAGACTTACCATAGAAAAGATGCAACCCACGCAGGATATGTTATGCATAAAACATACACAAGTGGACATGTGAAATGAACTCAGAAACATCCCAAAATACTCCATTAAAGCATCAGTTAGTAATGCAAATGAACTCTAGAACTAGAGAAGAGATAAGACTGGGCATGCATAAAAGAACAATACCTATAGAGTTACACCAACAATAGACATTGTTTCCAAAAACCAATTAAATGCAACTCAAAACATTCATTGCAGCAAAAAGAAATCCGCAACAAGAAAATCCATAGTTGATCAAAACCATGAAGAAACAAGCTTAGAATCATATCCTTTAACGTACTCCAAGAATTAACTTACATATGTCATAAGGAAACAAAAAGATGACCCATATTCAGACCAATTGAAACTCTTGCCAATTGTATTAGCACATCAGTCCCCCTTTTTCCTGAAAGAGCATCCCTCGGTGAGTCTAGCTCTACCTCCTGTAGGCTGGCAAAGAACAGTCTGGCAGTTACCACACACCACCACAGTTTGAGAGTGGCTAAACACAGTTGTACTACCAAGAAAAAAGCATAAACCAGAGAAACAAAAACAAATGTAAGAATGAAATGAATTCCATAGATAATTCAAAAACCACAAGTTTAAAGATCCAAAGACAATAAAGACAATCTAGGAACATACATGTTGAAACAGCCTTGACATTTCACATCCTTCACGCAGTAAAAGAACAAGTTAATCTCAACACACATACGCAAAGATATAGATGAAAGGGTCAATATATATGAAACAAAAAGAAAGTCCTAATAGATTACCATGAAGAAAGAATTGGGAGACTGAACGAGACGCTTGAGTTTGTGCTTCTTCTTCTCAAGCTCTGCTGGAGGATTCAACAAATCGATATCGTTTTGGAGAACCTAATAATTCCAAGTTTTAAACAACACCAAATCAGGTTCAATGCTTAAAAACAACATAAAAGAAACAAGAAGAATACAAAGAGGAGCTTGAACAGACCATTTTTGGTTGGCTGCTAGATGTTTCAAGAGCGACCTGAATACCCTCTAACCTGTTCAGGCGGCAGAGCTGAAGGAGAGAGAATCGCCAATGTGATCTTTTATATATAGAGGAAGGACAAGAATGGCTGCCCTAGGTCGTTTGAGACTTGACTTGAGACATAAAATCCCAATAAAGCCCAAGGTTCAAAAAATTAGTTCAAGCTTTCAACATGAATTTGGATAGCCCATGTCTGTTCTGAAAATTTGGGTTTGGGTAGCTCCAGGATTTAGAATGAACTGGTAGTTTACAGAAAAAAGAAGCCCATTTTAAGTTAGTCTGGCCGTTGTTTCATTTTTTTGGTCTTAGCTCTAGCTTTTATATATGATTATATATCGTTTATAATCTTATTTTTCAACATTTCGAGTTCTAATATTGAAATCAGTGAAATGAAATTAATGAACAGATAATTCACTCATTGTTTAACTCAACTCATTATCATTGTGTATGCTAATATCTTGATGATTTGTGTATTTTTATTATATAAAATATTAAAATTCATATATTTATATTATATTTTGTACAAAAATTATGTTACCATTTATATCAACAAAAATATATAAAATATATATTTTTTATTTTTATTAAACTCATGATTATTATTAAAATTTTAAGTCATGTCTCTTATTTTGTATCTTATTTTTATATCATGTTTATACCATATTTTTATATTATCACATATCGTAATGTCACATGTTAAGAAAAATATAAATTATATTGATTCCTTTTTCGTTTTCAGGAGTCCTCCAGTGGGAGAAAAAAAAAATTCATTAGCTTGGAATAGGACGGTAAGGAGCAGGCTTTTACTAGTAAGATGAACTTAAACAAGTGAATACACTGTATAGAGCCACAATAGATGATCAGAAGCTAAAAAGTAACCACCCATTTTTTAAGTACATACCAACAAGAGCATGGTGTGCCACCGTAGAGTTCAGCACCTCATTTTTTTTGTTGTTGTTGCTGTTGTTAGCATAGACACAGAAACGGGAGCTGCTCCAGCAGCATGATTGAGTTGACAATAATTAGGTTATTGAAATGAAAGGGAAAAATGGAATTCTCACAATTTACAAATTCATTTCTTGCTCTTTGAAACTTCTATCCTAAAAAAGGGGGTTGGGGATCAAAGTCATGTAGCCCGACTGAGTAACAAATAAGACCATTCACCATGGGAGAGGCGGATGGTGGAGCAGATAAAAACACAAGTCAATGAAATTAATGGATCTTCCACGATGCCACCACATGAAAGCCCTCGGAGGGAATTACAGCTCGACCCTTTTGAGCTAAACACCAAGCAAGAACCTAAACACATCACTCAATGAAATAATTCCTTCTACGCGCTTGCTGCCAGCCTCCACAATCACAAGTCTCCTAGCCCCTGTGAGAATACAAGCAATAAAGCAATAGTAGAGAGTACCTCTCATTGAAGAAACAGACAAAAAGGAAGCTTTCTTCATCAAGAGGATGGATGAAAAGGATACCTGGATTTGCCAACCGCTCCATCACTTTGTGCAAAGTATCTGATCTTAGACACATCTGACATCTTTGTCCATTGAACGAATTTGCATCTTGATCCAGTTGCAAGGCCTGCAAAAGTCGAGTACCACATTTTTTTCAAGGGCTTGGACATTTAGGCTAGTAAGAAAAGCTCTTTCTCTACTTGCAATTAACCTAACAGGCACTGCATGCATAAATGGCATTCACAATTACCTGATGAATACTCATTTCATCGAGATGAATCTGTGCATAAGCTTTATCCTTTGCCAAAGCAGTTATATCACTGTCAAGCAAACAAGCAGATGGCAACCTTTGTTAAGGAACATAAGTAATTAGTTTGGCATCCTAACAGTTTCTTCTTTTTTTCATTTCCCACTTGAAAGAGAAAGGCATTACCTTCGCGAATATATATCAAGCAATGAGTCATTCTCATCCACTATTGGTATCGAACTTACCTGAGCTGCAAAACAAGGTGTGATATTGTAATATGATTAACAAGAAAAGTGGAAAAGACAAGAGAGAGGAAAGAAAGAACCGGACAGAGGACATAAAGGCCAAGAAATACTGACAATCACTAATAACTCTAATAGCATTAAAAAAATCCTTCTCAAAAGGAATTAAGGGAAGGAGAAAAAAAATGCCTCTAAAAATAAAATTAGTGATGATGCCATAACTCCTCAACGATGTCCATCTGTGACATCTAGAATGAACTTACTTACATATCAGTTGTCAAATTAAACATTAGAACTTTTACCAATAAGGCTAAGGTAATAAGCTCAACATGCAATGAAAAGATGTAGATGCAAAAGGTAACATTCCTAATTCAATATTACAAGAAAGAATGCTTAAAACTGTCTAACTTGGCTAGCTAAGTGATCATTTCTATCTTATTGTAAAATGAGCACCAGCAGCGGAAACCATAAGCACAATGGGTATGGGTTACCTTGAACCAACAATGATAAGGCAGCACCAAGAGAGGCATTTGGCCGCAGCATAGCCAACGGCCGACCATTTGCTTCCCCAATTTTTGGTACCCAAGTACCCAAGGGAATTGAACAAATTGGTTGTTGAAGAATGGGCAAGGAGCTAGAAGAATGTTTAAAATGTCTGCATATACCTGAAAGTTAGTTTCTGGTTAGAAAGAACTCATGCACCCTCAACAAACAAGTATGAATCAGCAAACAACAAAAGAAAAGCTTACATTTTAGTATTTCAGACAAGGTGGCAAGATGTAGCAGCTGTGGAAATGAACCATCCTGTGACAAAGAATGAATGATGGGAACCGTAGCCACCTTACTTTTCAAAATCTTCAGAACAACATCCTTCAAAGAATCATAAGGCCCAGCCTGCATACAATGGTACTAAATGCTATCGTACTGATAAAAAAGTAACCAAACCTTCTAAAAGTTAGACTTCAGTAAATTCCAAGTCCTATCAAATATTAGCAAAAGAAGTACTCTTCTTGCGATAAAGATTACCTTACACAAACAAGTTTTAGTCAATACATGATAAATAAAATTACAATGAAGATTCTTTAGAAACATGGGCTATAAGAGAATGACTCCAAGAGCTTAAAAAATAGGTAATTCATTCTATTCTAAAGTTTGGGAGAAATATAAAGATTGCATAACCTCAGTATCATGGAAATCCAAACAATCATCCTGGAATTGCAGGACTAAGAAATCACTCTCTTTGTAATGAACAGATTCCAGAAAAGTCTACTATCAAAAAGCAACAGGCCAAGATCAAATGGTCAAAAACAGCTCATCGTAATAATTTCAATAGTTAACTCATCTTTCTAGCCAAAAGCAGTAGTTGAACTTTAGAAGTTTCATTTAACATACAAGCAGAGGATGAAGTAATAATGAGTGATGAAGTAATAATGAGTTAATTTACCAGCTTCATGAATCACCCAAAAAGAGGAAACATGTAAAATAAATTAGAGACAAACATGAATGGTGAATTAAAGATGCTAGATAATCCTGAAAATGGAAGCACTTACATGAACAAGACGTCTAGGATATGATCTTGCATTGCCATCAATCTGTCTGCTAAGATGCATCTTTCCCTCTTTCCAAGCTGATATCGTGTGTGTCTCTAATTCTTCCTCTGTCAAATTTGAACCATGATTCCCCAACTGTCCTTCAAAGGGTTATACATGTTAAGGGTACTTGAGGTAAATTATTGCAAATAAGGAAAAACTAGCATGTATTTCAACATTTCAACTAGTATTTGTGAGAAAGCTTAAAAAACACCTCATTAGTACTCCTATAAAAATATGTTACCATACCATTGCTTTATGGTACTTAAAACATACAGTTAGCCATGGAGAACAGAAGGAAATCTTTACTGACAGAAACTTGTACTCATGGTTAAATAAATCTAAACATTGCAAAATTCACCAATATTTTTAAAAAGAACAACTTTATTGTTCCTCAAACCATTATCTCTCTATCAAATATAGGTAAGCTATAGGCCATCACTGTTATGGGGTTGTTTTAAGTAAGAAGGGCCATATACTGATTTGTATGTTCAATCTCTTAATATAAGTACACGAGGCTCTCCAGTTTTAGGTGGCTCTCCAGTTTTTCCTTCCTATATTTCTCTTACTCTTTCTCTCTCTAGACAATCATGGACACCCACCAAGTTCAGAATAATAAGAAAGAAGCATGGTTAGTTTCATGCCAGGATTCCTTTGAAAGTAACAACCACCCATCTATTACATGAAAGTTCATTTCCCTAATTGCCTAATTCATGCATCTCTGGGTCTCTAAAAGGACATTGGCCTTAATAAAGTTTCTAATTTTTATTTCAATTACAAATAAAGTTTTCCTTAAACTTTTCACAGCTTAGATTAACATGTGAGGGGAAAATTGAAAACTTTTTCTTCCATACTCACCTCTCTTAGGATAAGAATGAAGTCCAGTGCACTAAGAACACCAACAAACTGGCCCTTGCAAGAATCCCAGAGAGGAGCCACGGGAATTCCCTGAAAGTAACACAAATCAACAAAGATGATATCTGCCTAGACAATTGCAAACAGTTGTAATAGGTAAAAAATCTAAATAAAAAGTAAATGATATATAACAAAGAAAATACAGAAAAAAGAATTACTTCAAATAAGATGCGGACAGTAAAAACATAAAAATGAAAGAGAAAAGAGAGGTAGTAAAAAACTGCACTACAAAGTTATCTTTTCTCTGGATGACAGACATAAGCAAAACAGGAAACACTTGAAGTGGAACCTTTATGTGGAGTGTCTTTGCATTTCTTTTCCTTCCTGCATGTTTTTTAGTTTGCAAGTGAGATTTACCTGTTCGTGCAGAATATGGAATGCTTGCTTCACAGCTATATTAACATCCAAGGTAATAACCTGCAACAATGGACACATTCAGATAGAACCAGCCTTAAGCCATCCCAATAAATTACCACATAAACAGCTCCCACAGAAAGGTAATTCATTCAAACCTTGCCTGACTCCGGAAGCAACTCATAAGAAGTGTGTCTCGACAAGAACGCAGCCATACGATGACGAGAGACCTCTAAATCTGCATCTGATATTGTTGGAGCAGGTTCCTATAATTTACCCCATAAATGAACATAAGTTCTTATCCATCTAATCTCTAGCATATCACATTAATTTTCAGCCTGATTCCTTTATAGAAAGCACCTCAAGGTCCTCAATACTTGAACAAGGACTGCTAAATGACAACAACTTAATAATGGACTAATGTAAACACACAAAAAAGATTTAAGTGTTTAAAAAGAAGAAGAATACCAAACAAATAAAAACATCATCAACGTCCATGTTGCCCGGGGTCGCAGGACTAAGACTTGGAGGAACCACATCTGGTTCCCTAGCTATAAAGACAGTGTTAACCACACCATAATCACCATTTACAAAGGGCTGGTGCTCATCGTGCCGCCATTCATCATCAACAAAAAATTTAAACTGCCAGTAAACAGAATAAAGCTTGAAAATTAGTTTTAGAGCTAGGAATAGAAGTCCATCCCAGAGCTAGGACTACACATGAATCCACATGATACCACACAGATGAGCAAAGATATAAGGAGATTTCCTTCATGTATTCTCCAAATCTTCAGTTGGTACACAACATACTTTAAAAAAGAAAAACAATTACAAAATGGTCATAGTTTTATGATAATAAAATGTCAACACATATTGTAAAGCAGGACATGAGCTATTTGAAGGTACAGCTTAACAAGCTTAGTTTACCATTAGCAGGAATCCAGGAATATCTCTAGGATGCAGAACTTAATAACTCAACTAGGATCTTATTAACAGAACATATAGGTACTTGCAGCATTTACTTCCAATGAATTTCAGTGTCATTTCCAAAATTACTCAATTGGATAGGAAAGATTAAAAATTTAGTATCAAGTGCTCCTTACAGGAGAATAGGGTTAAATATGTTCCTTAAACAGGTCCAATTATTCTATACAGACCCAGGCCGGACCAAAAATTTTATCTAAAAATCTACACAATCATTTAGCAAAACCAAGAACACTTCATCACATTATCAAAAGAATTCAATTCCAAGTATGGCTTTTTTCAATCTGAATTACAGATAATGATCATAAAAAACTGACTAACCTGATGAAATCCAGGGCTCAACCTACAAATAACTTGAAATACAGTGGGGCAACCCTCCATTGGAGACATGGGTATATGCTCTGACCACCTGTGCACAAAATGATAAATAAAATCAATAGCCATGTCCAACCTAAATTAGTGAAAAACCCTTCAAATATAATAAATTTAACAAATAAGTCTAGGAAAACACATAAAAACCAAAATTTTGATCATTTTCAGCTCTCACCTAGTAAAGGAGCCGCTGAGAAACACTCTCCTGCCCCCCATAAGGCCAGACGAAGCGCATTGGAATCAAACGTGACCCTGAAGCTCCACTCTTTTCATGGCCAGTTTCTGGACCAGAAGCGAACATTCCTCCACAATTTACACAATACAAAATTATGTATCTACCAAACTCAAATTCAACAAATTCCCAGTTGACTTTTTCTCTTTTCCACCACGAAAGCACTAAGATTCAAGCAATTAAAAGCACTTGCTAACTTTCACCTGGACTGATCAAGATTCGTAACTTAAAATCATAAAATTTTCGATTTTTTTTCAATAGGGATCCTCTACAACAAAGAGCAGAGGACCCCTTAATGGTTATACATTAAAAGCCACCAAATCAAAACCATACCCCAAAAGGATCACTTTTTTATAATTATTAGATAAAAACCAAACCCTAAAATCTTCAATGAGAAACCCTCTAAGATTCAACCGAGCTTCAATAATCCTCTACATGTGGCACCCACAAAACCCAATCAAAACCTCCAGAAATTAACAAATTCAATCACAAAAGTCAACAAATTAAACGGCTAATAACAAACCCCAAAATCCCACCCAAAAAAGGAAGGACCATCAAAAACCCCCAATTCGAGCTCTGATCTGACCTCAAAAATCAAGAATTTAACCAAAACCCTAAAGCAATGAAAGTTTGGGCAAGGTAACAACGTGGGTTTTTGAGTGGACAATTTAGGGACAGGAAAAATTATGGATTAAAAAGGAGAGCTTGAAAGAAGGGGAAAATGCTAACTTTGATAGAGAAACACTAGACAGAGGTTGGCATTGGTTGGATCTTCAACCGATTTTGTGGCCTCTCAGAAAAGAATCTGATGATGAATAAATTAAAAAAAAAAAAAAACAAAAGTATATTTTTATATAAATTATAATTTTAATTGCAGTAAAAAAAATTTTATGATGGCGAAAATTTTGGGCTTATATGAGCTTACGTGTAGAAACTTCTACTGCTATCTTTTCTTTTTATTTGTTAGTATTTAGTCATGTAAATTTCCATGATTTAAAATATTAAAATTTTTCTGATAATTCATCTTTAAATCGAATTTAGTACATAAAATGATAAATAAAATAAAATAATAATTATTTTATATTATATTTGATATTATATATATAAATAAGAATATAATTAAAAAAATTAATTATTTTTTTGACATAGAATGATTCAGTTATTTTTAAAATAAAAATAATTATTTTTAATTTATGATATTAAATTTATATATTTTATTATCTTCTTAAAAATTATATAAATAATTTAAATCATATAAATTTTAAATAAAGATAATTTTATTCAATAAATAAAATTATTCAATCATAATATTTACATATATCAAATATAAGATAAAATTATATTATTTAATTTAATTATATTCATAATATCATTTTATTCTATGTGATTCTTAATTTTGTATATTAAATACATTAAAATATTTTATTTTCCTACAAAAATTATTTTTATTTAATAATATGACAAATAAAAAATTAAACATATATACAAGTTGAGATTAATAAAAATTTTGAAGGAGTACCATTTAAAAAAACAGTTTTGAAGGAGTAAAAAAAAAGTTTTTATAACGAGTTATTATTTTTTAAATCAATTAACATGTTTTTAGAATTAATATTTAAAGGTTGTGAGTTAAAAAAAAAAAATTTATGAGCATATTATATGTAAATATCAAAATAAGGATTTGAAGGTAAATTAAAAAATTTTAAAAATTACTATGAAATTAATGATTGAATATTGACCAAACTAAACCTAGTTTCTTACTTTCTTTATAACACAAAAGGAGACAAAGTTGGAATATTATCAAATTTGACTTAAAAAACCAAATTATTAAGTTTAGTTGCACTTATGAAAAAGTATTGGTTGATTTAATGATTAGTATTTAGCTCATTTAATAGAGTTTTTCTTATAACTAATAATGATCTATCTTTTAATTTTTTTTTTTTGGTTACATTGTAAGCAAAAAATTAGGTTGTTACTTTAATGGTTTATTAATGTGAATAAATTTCATTTTAAAGAACACAATTTTATGTCACTAATTTGTTTTTAAGTTATGAAAAAATTTTCATTAGCAATATTTGATTAAATATGATAAAATCTAATAAAATTTTCAAAATTATCAAGAACAGTCTTAAATGAAGACTAATTCAATTCACATTGATTAAAAAATCAAAAATTTAAATTTAAAATAATTTAAATCAAAAATTATTTAAAATTACATGAACGATAATTTAAAACATTCAAAATTTGAAATAATTTAAACTTGATTCGAATTTGAGATTATCTAAAATACAAAACATAAAAATTTAAATTATAATTAAGTTGAAAAGCACTTAAAATGAATTTGAAAAATAATTTAAAAATATTTCAAATTCAAAATAATTCAAATTCATAAGAATTTGAATTATTTTGAATTTGAAATATTTTAAGCATATACAAAACACGAAAAACCAAAGATAATCTAAATGTAGATAACAGAAATAATACACCCTACTTCCATTTAAAATAATAATAATTATACTAACAAGTTGAAAAAAAAAAAAAGCTCAAATTTAGACTTTATAATTTAAATAAATTAAATTAATTAAAATAACGTACAAAGAATTTGTGTTACGAAGCAGTATGGTGAGGTATGCGGGTTGATTGGATTTGACGGTGATGAATTGATGTTTCAGGTGAGAAAAGTGGGGCCCATGAGATCGTGGGCAATGAACACTAAAACAGATAATTGCTTTTACGCTTAAAAAATCTGGTAGAGATGATTAGAGCTGCTCCATATTCTCTAAACTGGGTGGGAGGATCTAGAAAAAGAGATTTGATAGCATAAAGTTGTTGCATTACCATGTTAAGAGATGTGATCTTACCGTTGGGCTAAATATCATCTTTTAGCTTGATTTATGGCTTTCCGTTCGTAAATATTTAATAACTTCAAAAAACAAATTGACCTGTTGTTCAAAAGTATGACCTGTGACGGGCAAGATTTTTTTTTTTTTCCAGAAATGCTAGCAATAGTCGTGTCGAGAGATGCTTTTGGATAATCAAACTCTCAAAATGCCAGTTTTTTTTAAGTTTCAAAGCTGAGACCGACAATTTTAAGAGTCAGTTAAAACTTTTCGAGTCATAGTACTGCACATAATCAAAAGGGTTGAAAGATTGGAAAAATAAAATAAAATAAAATAAAAACAAAACAAAAAGGGTGAAAACTGACTTGATTTGAATGGGCTTGTTTCATGGTTCTTGTGAGAAACAAAATTAAAGTTCTAATCTTCTGAATTTTTGTTGAGGGGTTAATCACATGATGCCTGAGAAAATAAATCAAAAAATTAAAAATCAATTTGAAATTATAAACATTTAGTTGGGATATATTTTTTATTTAATTTAAATCAAATTTAAATATTAAATATATATTAATTTTAGATCAAGAAATAAAAATAAAAATATTAAACCTAATTAAATTATATATTTTATTAACTTTTATATATTTTTTAAAATTTTGTAAATAAAAAATTAATTTATATATAAACTTATTTAAATAGATTAAAAATTATATTAAAATAATATATAATAAAAAATTAAATTTAAAATTAAATCAATAAAATTTGATTCATATCAAATCAATTTAAAAAAAATATCGATTCAAATTTATATCAAATTTTAAAATTTTATAAGACTGTATATTATCATAAAAATTTAAACTAAATTCGATCCGATTTGAATAGTAAAAAATTTAATTAGCTACATTAGCTTTTGATAGAAATGATAGCTCAATTCGTACTAAACGGATTTTGATCCGACTCGATCTTTTAAGATATTTTTTTTTAAAAAATTAAGTTTCAAGTCGAATCGAGATCAAGTTTTAAACAAACCCATCTTGCCCCATCCTGCTCTTATCTAATATATATATAAAAAAATTATTTTTAATTAATTATTTAATTTTATTTATATATATTTATATATATTTAATTTTATATTTATATTAAAAAATAATATTTTATTATTTTTAAATCAAATCAAATCGAGTATAATTTTATATTATACTAAATAGACTTAGATTCAAATATTAAAAAATAAAAAATAATCATCAAATCAAATCAAATTTAATTATTAAAAATATAAAATCAAATCAAATTTAATACGAATTAAAAATTTATCTTAACCCGACTCAATTCATTGTCATGCATAGCTTTTGGCTTGTTCATCTCTGTCCTCGCTAGTGGTATCCTGGACACCTTAAAAATCTTAGTTATTTTCCTCTACATTTTCGTTTCATTTTTTGTTATCCTAAAAAGAATTTTATTTACTTCCATCTATCTTTTTTTTTTTATAGATCTTTTTCTTCCACATGCTTTTTTTTAGTGTGCTTGTTTTACTGTCTTTCTAAAAAACAAAAATTAATGTTATTGCAGAACGCATTATATAAAAAATGTTTTATTAAAAAGATTTGTCAAAAATTAAATGATCAAAGAGATGAATCTTGATATATTTCAAAGTGAATTAAAAAAAAATTCAGTAAAACTGAACTGGGATTTGTAAAACTGAACTGGGATTTGTAAATCTTTCCTCCAATTAGTTTCTCTTTAGTTGTTGTCAAGTATTGTTTTTTGTTATTTAAAAAAAAGGATCATTTTTTTATTAATAAATGAAAAAATTGTAAGTAAATATGAATAACTTGCTACTAAGAGTTATAGGTTTTCACTCTGAAACATTAGAGGACGTGGCAGTTTATATCCTCAAAGCTTTTGCACGACCCCTAACATTTTTTTAAAGTACACCCCACCTCTTGCTGCTTACGAGTATACTTTAGCTTTTTGCCTCTCATAGAGTCACACTATTTACACTTGTCTGTTTCAATTTCTCATTTTTTAGTCTTTTTTTTTTTTCTCTGTCGCTCACCCGCACACAAACCCAGCTCTATCCTTCTTAGTTCTAAGGCACGCTTGTCCGTGATTCATAAGGCGTTTCATACTTATGTAATCAAAGCATAAAAGGCAGGGACGCTAATCTCACCACTGTTGCGTTTTGAGTGATTCAAGCCATTTTTTTTAACTTATTAGTAAATATTTAATTGTTCAAAATACTTTTGAACAATTAGCTTTCATTATTTTTATTAATAAATGAAAAAAATGTAAGAAAATATGAAATTATAAAAGTAATAACGATTTAATTCGGATCAAATTCAATACGTTTAGACATTATATAATATTTTAAAATTTTAAAATTTAATTTGAATTCGAATCAAAATTTTTATTTGATTTAAATTGAATTAAATCGAATTTTATCAATTTAATTCGATTTGATTTATTGATTTTTAATTTTTATATATTATTTTAATATAAATTTTTAATATATTTAAATAGATTTTAAAATTAAATTGTATTTTTTATAAAAATTTAAAAAATATATAATTTAATTCGATTCAATTTTTTTTATTTTTTATCTTTAAATTTAAAATCTAATCCAAATCTCACATACATATTTAATATTCGTATTTAATTTAAATCGAATAAAAAAATTAATCCGAACCAAACAAAAAATCTACAATTTCAAATCAATTTTTAAATTATAAAATTTTTTTTCACTCTTAATTTACAAGCTCAAAGCACCACCCCCACTAGCTATTTATATATTTTAGATTTTTCCTCTGACACACTATTCAGCGTTTCTTTGTTTTAATTTTCATTTGTTATTCTTGTCTATTTCTTTAGTTTTTTTCACAGTCCTGTCCCTTTCTCTTGCTTTTTTACAATGTCATGTCGGCCACGTCCACGCACAGCCTCGACCCCCTCATCGTTAGCTTTAAAGCGTTTCATGGTTGCCCGCCCGTATTTCG